GAACTATCATATATGTTGGCATTGTACAAAAAGAATCATAGCTTTTAAAAAAGTTTGTTATAGACAATATTATCAATAGTATTGATAGCACAACACTCTTAATCACATATAAGAATATTCAACGCATTACTAGCTTAAGTTCACCTTAAGTTATGTCTAAGAGCTTAAGGTGACCTTAACATGACAACGTACAACTGACTCATTAAGGTACCCTTAGCATGACAACGTATAAATGACTATGTGTAAAAGAAAATATAGGTAAATATATACTGCTTAATGCAAAAATTATAATTGACTTATCTTTATTATTGTGGAAAATGAAGTGATATTTTGGAATTGAATGCATTCAAATTTGAAAGGAATTAGGATATACGATGAGACAATGATAAATTTGAAATTAAAACCTTTTGACCAATATTTTTGTCAGGTATCACTAGTGTAGAAAACACTTTCTATATGGGTTAAAAAAAAACTTTTTATGTCGGTTCCCGTAACGACATAGTAGCCAGCGATATAGAAAGCCAGGCTCTTTTCGTGTCGGGTAGTCGTACCCCTTATAGAATGTTTTTTATAACGGTTACGAATTTAACCGTTATCGAATGTTTTCGGTGTCAGTCCAATAATACCCCATATAAAATCCTTTTTATATGGGTTAAACCACCAACCGTTATAGAAAGTTGATTTTTTTTAAAAAAATAATCGCATTCACTGTCACTTATTGTACTAATCGCATTTATTGTACTAATCGCATTATTTAAAAAAATCGCAACCGTTTATATATATATATATATATATATATATATATATATATATATATATATATATATATATATATATATATATATATATATATATATATATTGATGTCATATAGTTCTTTTGATTTCTGTACTTCGCCTGTGCAAATGAGCATATTGTTCTTTTTGTTTTGAATTAATAAATGTAAAAAATTGGGCTAGAGGCTGCTTACATATTACTCATTAAAATATAAAATCACTTAGAAGATTATTCACTGTTACTCATTAGCATAATAAGAAACTCAACCTATATTTCAAATTTATGGTTCAGTATACTTGATGCCATGATGGTGTTCAAGAACTTCTAAATATGCACTTCATTGAATTCAGCATCAATTTTTCCTTAAAGCGATCGAATATGGACTATCATTACTCAAATATGTGTTCATTTCTACATACATCAATGAAAAGATCATATATGACCGAAAACACAATAGTCATGTACTAAAAAGTGGTCATAGTCAAAGACGTGTACTAATTGTGGAATTAGTGCGATACTCGTAAGACCAAAAGTGGAATTTATACTTTTTTAAAGCACTGTAACTTTTTATGTGTACTTATCAAAATTCATAGTTTTTTTACTATATTTCTTATGACATCAATATAATAATATATATATAAAAATAAAAAATTAATTCTATTAATTTGTGCGATTTAGGATCGTAATTGTTTTTACTGTGCACACTATTATCCCGAGGTGATATCTTAGAATAAAATTTATTGCACAATTTTTAGTGCAATGAATGAAACAATAAATAAAAGTGATGAAGTTTGTGCAGTATTAAAAACTCGGGGTGAAGCTTTGAGATTGTTTAAAATTTATTAAATAAATGGGATGTGACAATGATGTGTAATAGAGAAACCGCTAATTTAAAGATCATGAATGGAGATGCTATTAAGAATGTTTTGAAACTCAGGTTAACCGGTATCATATAAATCTTTTTTCATTTGTTAGCCGAAAACAATTTACTTTAATCACAAAAGTAACAAACATTTTATAAAAAATAACCGGGAATGAAATTCATGATCACTCTTTTGTTCGCTAGTATCAATTATTGGTTTGAATCGTTATTTTGTTTGAACGTAGACCATTCAAACTCACTTTTTTCACCTTTGACAATTAATATAACATCACCATAAAAATATTATTTAGCTCGGAAAATTTTAATTAAATTTTGATGATCAAACTATTGAATTTGGTAGTTGATAGATATAAATTATAAACAAAATAATTAGATTATTATAATTTCCATAAAATTAAAACACATGAATTTAAATTACTACTCCATTGATCGGCTTTATTCCCAAGTGTTGACCGGCATTATTCACATCGTGCCACATTATTCCTTCCTTATTATGTCACACTTATTATTACCAAGAGTGCTCTGAAATTGTGCGGCGTTTTTCCTAAAATAATTTTGGGCGGCATTTTTTCTTATAATAATGGCCTTATTTTGGGCGACATTAAAATTCATATAATGACTTTATTTTGGGTAGGATTTTTCCCTCCAACAATTGTGCAGACACTGTTACTTTATATTATATAAAGATTGCAGTGCCCTATTGCCAAAATTAAGGTGTTTTATGTTGTCAAAAGTAAATGAGCTTCATTCACGACCGGTGGTCAGATTTTTAGAAATTACTCTCATAGAAAGTTGTTATGTGTGGTTAGTGAGTGTGAGACTTATTTGAATTACTTGAGCTATTCATGGTGTAAATTGTAGTCGATCTCAAATTCTTTTGGGATTAAGGCTTAGATGTTGTTGTTGTTGTTGATTCATAGTGTAAATTGATTATTTAATTCCATAATATGTCATTTACCATAAAAAGATATACATAGAAAGTAAATAAGTTTGAGAGAAGATGAAAATGTACAAACAAAAAAGAAATCAGTCCACATTTTCAAATCCATCTACAATTGTAAAAAAGGAAACAAATAGTAAAACATGATATAAAAAATTTGATGAAATGCAGGATGCCACACACATTCAAGGACCGGTGGGCATAGCTCAACTGGTAGCAAAGGAGTGCCACAAGGGTTAGGTCCCGGGTTCGAATCCCGACAACTGCGATGAGAGATTACTATGCTAAAAATGCATAGGGTCTCTGCAAGTACTGGGGACAGAGCCCCACTCTCTATCTGTCAGATTGAGATTATAGTCCAATTTACATCCTCCTCACGTACCGTCCGATCGGGGTTGGGGGGCCCTCAGGAATGGGGTGTCGATCCTTTTTTTCTAAAAGGTGGATAAGCGTTAATGAAAAGTCATTTTAATTTTCTTATTAATAATTATTGTTTTATAATGATGTATACAAGAAATAAATAAATATTCAAAGATTACTATACAAGTTTGTTTCGGCATAATATTCATTTTCTTCCATAAGGATATAAGTCCAGCATGTCAAAATTATTTTATGAAATCAAAAGCAAGTCCAGCAACACTAGGGGTATGTTTAGCACAACTAGCTGAAAATATACGTTTGTGAGCTTTTTAATAACTGTTAGCTTTTAGTGATCGAAAAGATCTTTAAAAAAAAAGGTGGTAGCTGTTTAGTAAAAAGCTGACTGTTTAATTTAGTTCGATTTGATATACAAGCTGTTAGGACTAATTAATACTCCCTCCGTCCCGTTGGAATGTTCCCGGTTTGACCTACACACATATTAAGGAAATAAACTTACCAGGGGGTAAATTTTACTATTTTGACACTGTTTTGACACTGTTTGGCACTGTTTGGCACTGTTTCGACACTGTTTGACACTGTTTTGCTAGGGGTGGACTCGGGTCCGGGCTGGGCCTAGGCCCGAGCGGGCCGGCGGTTCAGGAATGGTGGACCCGGGACCGGCCCGGGTAGCCACCGGGTTCGGGCCGGGGCGGGGCGGGTCTCCGGTTTGGATTTTTTTTTTTGTTGCTTTCCTAACCCCCCCCCCCCCCTCACCCCCACCCTCCCAAAGCCCCCCAAACCCATCCTACCTATCAAGCCCAACCCGGGTGGAACCCCAAAAATGAAAAAAAAAAACAAAAAAAAAAAATTGGCCTAAGCCCCGGCCCGACCCGGCCAGGCCGGTTCACCAAATTTGAGACCCGAGCCCGGACCTGCCCTACCCCCCGGGCCTAGGCCCGACCTGGACCCGAACCTGAGAACCGGGCCAGTCCCGGTCCCGCACAGTAGCGGGTCGGGCCGGTCCACGGGCCGGGTGGCCCGACCCGAGTCCAACCATATGTTTTGCACTGTTTGACCCTGTTTTGATGTAGGATAACTTTCCATTTAGGGAAATAGGAACTTTCCAACGGGACATCCAAAAAAGGAAAGCAGGAACATTCCAACGGAACGGAAGGAGTACTAAAAGTCACGAGCTTTTTTCGGATGTTAGTCCTTGTAGCATCTCAAAAAAGATCTTTTAATTTTTGAAAAGCTTTTAAAAATTGTCATGCCAAACATATAACTAGAAGCTTTGAGAGACTTTTTGAACAATACAAACTTAGATGGACCCGGACCGGTCCGGTTCCGGTTCCGGGCCGGGCCCCGGGCGGGCTTTTTTTGCAAAATGTTGGGCCCGGAACCGGCCCAGGTTGATACCGAGTCCGGGCCTAACCGGGCCGGGCCTGGGTCAAGTTCAATTTTTTTTTTGGTTTCTAATTAACACCCGACCCCCCCCCCCCTTCACCCCCACCCCCAACCCCCCCCCCCCCCCCAAACACCCAACCCTAACCTAGAAAAGCAAAAAATTTGAAAAAACAAAAAAAAATGAACTGGACCCGGCCTGAACCGCCCGGGCCGGTTCACCAAAAGTTGGGCCCGAGCCCGGCCCGGCCAACCCGCCCAAACAGGCTAAAAGCCCGGAACCGGCCAACCGGTTCCGGTTCGGTCCAGGCCCAAACAGTAACGGGCCAGGCCAGTTCCGGGTCGGGTCGGGCCAGTTCCGGGTCGGGTCGGTCCGGTTTAGTCCATCCCTACTAGGTAGGCAGTTTGGGTAAATAGTTATCTGTGTACATTATTGTGGCATAAATGTATTAGATGATGAAAAAATAGAACTTTTTATCACTGAATGGATACAAGATACATAGAAATGTAACCATGGAATGTAACATTGTAACCCATAGAATGCAATACAATAATATACACCATTTTGTAATTTGTATTATATAATCACGGATTAGAAGAGAATTAAACTGAGAATGAGGAAATACTTCCCAAACATCATTTCCACTTAACAGATCATCGGGATATTATTATGCAACGCTATTCCACGTTTGGTTTGACTGTAAATAGAGATTTTAGTTTACAAATATTACGCCACATGCAATAATTCTAAAAAAGTACTGAGTAGTGTGTATGCTTTTAACACATTGGTAGTGCTCTATTCAACAAACATATAAAGCTGTCAAATCCATTGGCATCTAATAACATAACCTTTTTGTAAGGTCAATAACTGTTACTTACAATGTATGCCCTTCATACTATGGTCCACAGAGCACATTACGCTTTTGAGTGTGTAATTTATTTATTTATCTATTTCTAAGAGAGGCAACCCCCATTAACCACCTTGAGTTTCCGTACAAGAAGAGTACAATGTTTGGTTTCAGTTCCACAGAAATCAACTGTCCTGGGAATGGGAGAAGAACCTCAACTGTTGTCAATAACAAAGGGCGATGGCGGAAAATTGTCAAAATGTAACGACAGCAGTAAAACTTTACTCTAGGACTTGAATGGGAAATTGTGCTGCCATGAAAGCTTCCCTTCCTGTTTTGCATAGTACACAGCTATTGCCAATAAAATGACAAAAACTACCATCCAGAAACTGAACCCTCCTGCAAAGAATGTAAAGACTACATAATTTACATATTGATGTCACAAAACTGAACCATCAACTCAATAATACTGATATTATTTGATAAAGAAATCGTGGCATTAGAATTAAAGAAACTACGAACTATTTTTACGGTCATTGTCCCTGATGAGTGTCACCCTTGCACTTGAATCCATTGAGGCAGAGAGCAAAGCCCTAAAAACACATGAATCATTTGTATAAAAAAATACACATACAAAACCTATGTTACAAAGACGGCAGTTTATAGTGAGTGTGAGGAACCTTGAATCCTTGGAGAATGTTACTTTGGTCGGTATACCCATATGTGCTTTCTTAACCGTCATCAGCACTCGCATATTTTCAGAACTCAAGATCCGAACCTCACCTTCAGTGGTCCCACTGCAAAGAAAATAACCACATTGATTCTTCCCCTTTTTCTGATTATTTTCATTCTAATAGTAGAAAACTAACATCAAGAAATAATGATTTGCAATGGTAGGTAAACACAAAAAACACCCTAATCAAACATGTTCTAATCAATACATTTCAACCTTTTTCTACTGAAATAACCTCTTGCTTAACAATGGTGTGTGGCTTTTTCACTTTACCTGCCATTGCAAATCATATTTCTTAGCAGAACTGAAGTAATTTCTTTGTATAAGAGTGTTTGCGATTGCTTAATTAGCACTTGTGCTCTGTGTTCTTACAAAAGCTATAAGCTTTAAACAGCTTTTACTTTTTTTAAATTACTCATTTAACCCATTGTTCTAAAAGGAGGCCAAAGATGCCGCAAGGGCGGGCCTAGGCGTGGGGCGCCCATTAAACGCCTCGCACGCCTAATAGGCATGAGAAAAGGAGGCCCAATTAGTCAACCCAATAATCCAGGCCGACGATCAGCTACGTAGCCTATCTAATACAGAGTATTTTAGACGTGAAGGTCGGAATAAGCCTTGAGTTTCCATCCGTGTGGAGAAGACTACTTTATACTGGCATACTAGAGTTGAATTCTCTCCACTATCGGTGTGGGAAATTGAATGGGAAAGAAACATAAGAAAACCAAAACTCATTACTCATTAGTGGATGCTTCGACAAACTTTGTACACTAGTAGCCCCTTATAAATTAATTCTCTCCATTCAGCAAACCAACAATCCTCTTGTTATTACATGTGAATTTTTCTTGGTAAGATAATGTAATATTTGGTTGTCCAAAATAATAATAATAATAATAATAATAGTAAAATAATTAGAGCACGTTTCATAACCCATATTTTCATTTTATCAGCCTTATCAGCCAACTGTTTTACCAAATATGTATTTGAATTCCCCAAAATAACTAAGGTTAGAGATACTTTTCTAACAGAATTGATTGAAGTTTATAAAATCTCATAAGTAGTAAAAAGCCACAATATATCATTTTGTATTGCATTTTTATACATTTAAAAATTATACTCCCTCAGTCCCAAATTGTAAGATACATTTACTATTCACTTGGTCAAGATAAATCGCTCTTAATCTTTTACCTTATATATCAAAAGTTTATGATATTTGAATTATTTTTTGCAGGTTTTGTAGCGATTTTAATGTAGTTTCTGAATATGTAAATTTTATTTTCTAAAACTAATTTGAATGTTAACAGGGATCAATTTGCCTTATCGTTGGTCAAACATCGTAAACCGTAAAGTATCTTACAAATTGGGACGGAGGGGAGTGTATATTAGGGAAAGTAAAAATTAGGCCCGATCTTGTATAATATATTTTGGAAAATTATTTATTTTCTTCAGAAATCACTATAAAACAACAATTATCGATATAAATCTAGAACGCCTTTTCATGCCTAGGCTTTGCCTTTTCCCACCTAGGCTTCAAAGGCTTGAGGCTTGGCCTCAATGCCTTGCCACGCCTCATACCTTTTAGAACACTGATTTAACCAAGCACTATAATGTCTACTTTTTTCAAATCATTTTTCTTTCCAAAAACCGTCAGCTTTTAAAAGCAAGCACTTTTTCTATATTCTCTAAAATAAATCACTTCTCACAAGCAAAAGCAACAACCAACACAACCTATATATGACACTATTCACTTGAGAGCATATAAAACTCAAAATCAGACTTGTTCATAACCAAATAAATTGCACTTTTGAACAAGTCTCACATTGCTAGGAGCTTCCCATCAGCTGAAACATCAAATGCTGAAATCGGGAGAGAGACAACAAGCTTTGAGTTCATCCTCTTCCATGTAGTGGTGTTCCACATCACAATACTTCCTCCTTTTCCTACACGTGGAGAGGAACGCATCATATGATTATTTTTGAGAGTTTGACTTTGCATCCTGTTTTTGGGTAGTACTACGTGTTTGACTTTGCACCCTATTTTCAAAATCATAAATGTATGCACCCCAGTTCACTATAAAATCATTTGACTTTGCACTCCACTCCTCCATAACTTTTGGGCTGATGGAGTGTGCACATATTAATGATTTTGAAAACGGGTGCAAAGTCCAATTTCACCCAAAACATGGAGTGCGAAGTCAAATTTTCCCATTATTTTTCTAGATGTGAATCCATAAACTAAGTGGAAACAAAAACGAAAGAAACGTCCAAAATTACATGTTTACCATTTGAAGCGGTGACATAGATGGTCTGATTCTTACTACATCGCGAGAATCTACAAAATCCAAACATCTCATCCTGGTTTCGAGAAAGAAACACAGTGTCAGGAGACTAATGCAAGAATAGGAGATTAAAGTGGCAATGACAACAAGAATGTCATGTGGGCGGACAGATATTATACCATAACTAAGTCACTAAGAACAACCTTGGATGTATAACAAAACCTTTTTGGATAACTTCAGAATTACAGAAATAAACAAAATAGACCTTTTCAAGTTGAAAAAATAAAGATATTTAATTGGCTGTTTTGTAGCCACTTTTTTGTCTCATCGCTTTATCAACCAATTTTTTTACTAAACACAAATTTTCTTGACTGCACGCACTGAACTGGTTAATAATGAAAGAAAGTAGGGCTAGAAATAGTATTCGGCTGAAGTTATTAATGATGATCACTTTAGCCTTCATATATATTTTCTATAATTTATCAATATAATTTATCAATTTTTACCCACTCTTTCCCTAGTTAAACTTCATTTTTTATTTAACACACAATACAAGCTAATGGAGTATGCATGATATGTGTGATTATGCGGTAAGGAAAGAAAAACATCAACCACATATTTCTTTCACAGTTTCATTAAAAGGAAAAAGGTGAAGTTTATTCGGGACAATCAAGAAAGGAAAAGGGTGGAGTGTAATCACAGGACGGGGGAGGTCATGATTCGGTGATTTCAGCAACTTCTATCTTGACCAAAATTTCAGCAACAGTGTTAATAATAGGTTCAGCACTCTCAGCCAAATTCAGCTTAACCAAACAGGCTCAAATTAGAAATGATAAAGAGAGAAAATAGATCTTCTAGAAGGTCTAATAAGGAATATATAAAGTGCCACATTTTTTTGCAAGGATAAAGTGCCACATTTTGACCCACTTTGCATCGTAGAGCCTTCATCAGGTCAAGTTTTATGTGAAATAAACGACACAAGAAGTAAACTTATGAGATCAACAGCAAAGTGCCAGACTACTATAAGAGAAAAACTTTGACATAAACAAAGTGAAAGTAGAAAAGAAGACATCCAAAATATTCAATTTAAAGACAATGGCTTCAACAATAAAGAACATGACCAGTTATTGAACGCCAAGGAGTGACTCAGAAACTTAAGTCATACATTTTTCTTCTGCAAAGAAGCCACCAATGTTAATGTTGAGACATTCCAGACCCTACAACAGCCACTTCCCAGAGATACAAGAAATTTTCCATCAGGGCTGCAGATATAATCAAATCAACCCAATCAAAATCCTAGATTGAAGCTGAAGTTTTAAGAGGTAATGATATTTGATAGTGTGATGTTAATGATTAAAAATAAAGTAATCACTACAAACCTGAAATCTAAATCTTTTACAGAAGAACGATCCTTGGGCTCATCAATAATAATCTCCATGCTTGGCCATTTGAAAACTCTAAGCTTGCCATCCTGTTCTGCAGAAATAAGTGATAATAAAGAACAATGTTTTTGTTTTACTAAAATGCTTCTCGCTGCATTTTAATATAATAAAAACGGAAAGAACTTAAAAAAAGGAGAGAAATAGGCAAGCACCCCTATTTCTATATATGAGTAGACGTACTGTTAAATAGCTTACCAAAGGCTACTTTACAAAAACAAAATAATAACTACGAATGCCTCTTTATCTATCGAAATTCAGATTAAAAAGGTTTTCTACAATGTTGTAAGCCCAGCACTTGAATTGTGAGCAGTAGAAAAGAAGACATCTACCTCACCACCAACAGCAAGTAGGGAACCCTCATTGTTAAATGTAAGTGCTAATTGCATCTCAATGTCTTCCAAATGCTTAAGAACTCTCTCAGATGACTTTAGAGCCAAAGCACCCCCATCTGTGATATTGCTTGCATCCCACTCAAACCACCTGATTTCAACATTCGTGATAAAAGTAGATTTATTTGGGAAGTAAAAAAGTGCACAGAGTTAAAATGTATACTATCTGTGTTTAGCTGTATACACCCAACATCTCACAATTACCTTCTCACTTTCCTTTTTGAGATGTCCCAAAATCATTTTCCTACTCTTTTTGGTAGTATTTGAGGGGTAAATCTTTTACCCCTAGGATAAGTACCTCATTAATTATAAATTTTCTCTATCATACTTTTGAGGAAGGACATACTTGGAAAGTTAATAAAAAAAGTTATTTTGCCATAAAAATGTGAAGTCAACTAGAAACTTAATTGTGGGATACACGGAGAATTATAAAAAGACTGCAATATTTTGCATTTTAAAACGCTATGCATGGGCTAGATTACTAGATACAACTCTTCTCTCTTATTTCCCCCATTCTCCAACAACAAGTACTACATACAAGCCTTATTCTGAAAAGAGTTTGGGGTTGGCTAACATGAACCGACATATGATATCGGAGTTAAAAAAAATATACATCATAAGTAATTGATATATAAGAGTGGTTGGAAGTATTTTTGCCTCATTATCAAACAGTGGTTTTTTAGTAACAAGTAAATGATTGGTCATAGACTACACTTGAAGTTTACCTGCAATTTTTAGGTAAAGAACAAATAAGGCCTTCTCCTCCAGGGTGGACCGCCATCCTGTAAGGCACATCAGTACCAGTTCCAAACCTTGCCACCTTAAAGGAAATTCAGTTGATAAACATCAAAGTTCAACCTCATGCGGAAAATGAAGGATGTACTTGTCAGCAATGTTGCATGGATACGAATATTTGGATACGAGGAGTAAGGCTAACTATGTTGTACTTGTCAACTATGGTAAACAGGGCTATATTTGCAAATAATAAAAAACTATTTGAGTTAATTTGCAAAAAATAAGTCAAAAGTAATTTAAGGGTTCACAAGTAAATTACCAATAGTAGCAACAGCGGATATACTCCCTCCGTCCCAATTTACTTAGCCAAATTTGACTTTTCAAGTCAACGGCGTCTAACTTTGACCGATTATATGTTTATATAGAGAAAGTATTGATAATATGAAAATCATATGAAAATGTTCTTTGTTAAGAACACTATCATAAAAGTATAAAATTATTAGATTTTTCATAAATATATTAGCTTAAATAATTGGTCAAAGTTAGAGGCCGTTGACTTGAAAAGTCAAGTTATGCTAAGTAAATTGGGATGGAGGTAGTATATGATATAAGTACAAAGTCTTGAGTTACAAACTTACTGCACAGAGTTTAAAATAAACTACTTGTACTTTAAAATTTAAAATTTCAATAGCATCAAACTCGGCATCTATCTTATTTCTATATTTTCATTTGCTTTCATGTCCTTTAGCAATACCGATTGACCGATTCAAAGTTCAACTCATCAATTGAATGGTTGACCATTTCAAGTTCGACTCTACATTGCAGTGAATGAGAATAAAATAAATTAACTTAAATACGCATATCGGTCTATGGATACTGGTGGAAGTTTTTCTTTTTATTAATTGGTCCAGTACTTTCATAAAATTATGGATACGGGCCCAAGAAGCCAAACACTTTCATTCTTTCAAGTATTTCTTTTAACACTTTTTTATGAAACTCCTAACTTTCATTAAATGATTAATTAGTCTTGCTATTTTTCATTTCAAATTATCATCATAAGAGCACAAGTGATCTTATGGAAAATTATAATACCACTGCCCTAAAAAGGCTTACTACTTTTCTTTTTGGGATGTCCCTAAATAAAGTCCTCTTTACTTATTTGGTAAATAAATTCCTATTAATTTTTTCTCTATTACCTTTGAGGCTTTAAGTAATTTGGGACGGTACCAATCAGAGTTAAACAGTACCAATAGTGTCAAACAGTATACTCTAGAGTAAAAATAGTATTTCAGGAAGTCAAAGAAAAAACATATCCAACAGAGTGTTTATCTTTGAGTTTTTAATTTGATGAAAGAAATAATCAATAAAAACAAAATATGTTCACCTCTTCTGCAGTTCTGCCTTGATATATTCATATAAAATGCAAATTTTGAAGATTTTATGGATTTACACATTTATCAGATAAATTTTATGTGTGATGGAGATTTAAGTTTATTAATTAGCATAATTGAGTATCTCAATATTTCAATACTAAAATAAGAAGAAACATGAGTCACATCAGATCTAGGTCTAAACCATTTCCATGAAATTAAAAGCCAACTCTCTAGCAGCCCTTTACTTTCAACTTATATATCCCATTTTCCCACAAAGGCAATTTTCTGCATTTCTAGTTTACTCTTGTTGTCTTGTTAATAGTTAATACCTACATTTTCTTCTCTTGATTTATTTCATCTGGTTTATTTACATCATAAGCACACAAGTTTTCAGCATACATATATCTGTGTACGTGAATGAGTAGAGAACATATGTATGTGAATTAAGAGCATGCATAGGAAGAAATTAGTTCTACAACTAAACAACAGAAATAATATTGACAATGGCAAAAAAATAGCACTCACTGGTTGGTTGGATAGAATATGGGAGTCGGGGTCAAGTTGAACAAGGAGGATAGCATTTGGGATGCCGCTACGCCCTTCGCCACCCCCTCCAGCAAGGACAATATAGTTGGCAGCAGCAACCGAAGGCAAGTTGTCATTAGGGACCATACTATCTCCATCTTCCTCCGGCTTTGATTCAGGAGCAGATGTGATGGCTCCGGATGGGACCCATGCAGCCCCGTAAATCGGGACCCCATACTTCTTGAGTTGTTCACCGTCAGCCATATCAGGTGCTGCTGATCCCTTCTATCAATATATTATAATGCAAATATGCAATGCAGTTTACTTTGCCAATTTTCCAGTAAAACCTGACAGAAGAAGCAGTAACAAATATAGATAAATATACACTCCAACAACAGTAGCCATACAGATTGATAAAGTCTCTCAAATCTTTATAACTTGCTTTAACGTAGTATGGGGCATAGCAGTTGTCCACTTGCTTACAAAATTATTTGCTGGCCTGAGAAACACTTGATTCAAAATTCTAACTACACCACTTATTGTGTGGTGCCTGAAAACAAATTAGAGTTCTTTAAAAATTCAAGCCAAAGAATGGAGGGGTGAAAATAGATCTTGCACGTAATCTGTATTGAACTTCGAGATGTTCAGTTTTTCACACCAGCAAACAAAAATCTCTGCTTAAAATTTTCTTTAGCCTAATCAATACCAAAAGGATAACAAAATGCAGATTTCTAATGTCATAGTTGAACTTAAAATACAGGTATTTAAAGTAGATCCGACTCAATTCCTAAAAAACTAGAAAATAGACAGATATATACACACCCACACTCACAGACAGGCTATCATTCTATTCTAAATACAAAAACATATCGGATGGCAAAAATGAAAAAAATACCACGCAAATACTTATCTCAAACATAAAATTCCAGAGTAGTATTCCAAACATATCTTCCAAAAGGCAAGGAAAATAAAAGATATGTAGAGTCGTTTTGATTGAGATTTTCACCATAGATCTAAGAATTGATTTATGATTAAAAACAACATCTAATAATTGTGTTACATATCTTGATATCTTGTTAATCGAAAGAAGACATTATATTTGTTTAAGAATGTGTTATAAGGTTCGAGGTTGAAGCAGCAATGACTGAGGATGAGCATAGAAAATGAAATACCTGGACATGAAGAACGGTGTGTTCTCGAATAGAATGTCATAGAGAAGGGAGGGAAGCTTGTGTGTGAAAATATTGGGATGTCATTTAATACGCCAGGGTGCCTTAAAACTTTGTACGGTCCGCCCAGCACACAATTAATAAATTAAAAGTTGTCTTAGTTTATGGAGAGAAGAGAGGATACTACTTATAAACCAGTAGAGTTTAGTATCATAGAAAATGAAAGTGTAAGAATAAGAAATCGAAGTAAATGGAAAGCAAATTAAATATTATAATCAATGAGAAAGAAAATGGGAAAATTCTCGAAATATGAGTAAGAAGTTTGAAAATTCCAAAATAGGACTCATGTTTTATTCCCAAAATAGGAGTAATTACTGCCAAGTTTAGAAAATACTGGCATGTTTAAAGTTTGGTACTGCCAAAACATGACAGTAATTAGTCATATTTTGAGAATAAAAACATGATAGTCCTATTTTGGAATATATAAACATTTTTAGTCCTATTTTGGGTAATTTCTCGAAAGAAAATAAAAGGCCAAGATGAATATACTACGTATTAGAATAACAAAGATAATGGGCTTTGGTTTTGCTAGTTTCAACTTAGTGAAGTGCTTGTTGATCATTGTTACTACTTTAATTGTCTCTTTTGAATACTATATATGTTCCACTAACTGTGGGACATGAGGAGTTAGAACAATTATTAAGAAAAATAAATTTATGTGGTTGATATTAAATTGAAAAAATGAGAATAAAGACACAATTTTTACCAAACTTAGCATGAAAAAGTCACAATGAGACACACCGTAAAAGAAAGATGAGACGATCTTTGCTGGATAGGGGGATACTTATTTGTAGAGAAACTTTCCTTCATCCCGGATATAACTATCTTTCTATATACAAACTGTTGTGGAAAAGCAGTCTGAATTCCCGCCCAAAGTGTTGTTTACAAAACGGATCGGGCCACGTTTTAACAAAAGGCTATCAACTGCTGATCTTTATTCTTTAGTCACATGGAGTGGCAGGAACGGGGCTCCATAAAGTGCTGCAGTACAAAAGGAGATCAGCTTTTGATCCAAAATGTGGAATCTCCCACCCCAGGAGCCTCCCACCCCGACCCGACAGGATGGTGGGGAGGTTAGTCACGGTGACTCAGTCAGCAGAATGGCAGTAGGCCCATACACCCGTGCGCACCAGAGGTCCAGCCTTATTTCAGGTTCTGTGACCTCCACCCGGTCGCTGTGGGGGGTCGAACCTTGGTCCATTGATCCAAATCTCCCACCACTCAACCAACTGAGCTACCCGTGCGGGTAGGAGATCAGCTTTTGAATTTTGAAACTTGGTGGCTCAAAATTGTGTGGCTCAATGCTGTCCAAAAGAGCTGTCCTTTTAATTCGGCGCAAAGAGTAGGCCTGCAAACAAGGAAAATCAATTTTGGAGATTTTGTTGTACGAATTTTCGGAGCTAAATATTACTCCCTCCGTCCCATTGGACTTCGCCAACTTTCCCTTTTTGGTTGTCCCAAAAAATTTTACCACTTTCCATTAAAGTAACTATTTTGTGGTTATTCTCATTTTTCTCTCCTCTGCACAAACTTTAACCACACAATTTTTACTATTCTTATTTCTCATCTAATTCCAAGAGTGAAAAGTCCATTGGGACAGAGGTAGTATTAAAATTAGGTATTTAGTTTACATTAGTTTCATGTGTGTTGTCTATTCAGATGTCATGTCATCATAAATGGGAGACAACACAATATTAACCATTGGGTAATTTGTAAAAGATGGTAATGACTCTTTAAATATTGAAGTATAAATACAGCCCGATGGTTTTAACAACATCACATAACAAAGCAATAGATTTGAGAGAGGGTTGAAGGGGCCATACGAGACTTGATGTTCCTCCGCATTCTAAAGGTGGGTGAACCTAAAATTTCAATGAACAGGTAATGAGCTCATATTTTCCATGTCTTTACTAGTGTGTTCAACTAAGGGCTAAAGCTAACATTCACTAAAATCGACAGGAATGATGGATATATATGCATCACGGGGTAATCAATGACATCAAACTAATTGGCAAGCCTTGGTCTCTATGATCAGATTTTATACAGTTATTTTTTGGTTTTTTTATATTTCATATTTTGTAAGTTCTCTAGCAGGATTGATAGTGAAACATATAGGCTAAGAGACATATGCAGCACAATCAACATTCAAGTGTAAGGTGTAAAGGAGAAGCTCAAATACAAAATAGGTAGATGAGATTGCTTTTGGAATATCATATTGTTTAGAAGTACAATATGAGCATGTAAAATAGACCTGTACAAAATTGGGCCGGTCCGCCCGGCCCGTCCGCACAAATGGGCGGACTTGGGAATATATATTTACCCACCGACCCGGCCTGGCCCGACCCGCAATAAGATATGGGCAGGCTTGGGTTAGGGTGTAGGCCCGTTTGGGTCGATAAGCCCGGCCCGCTACATTTAGTATATATAAATATATGTATTTATATATATACTAATTTATTTATTTATTTACATATACACATGTATAGTTATATTTACTAATTTTTCTTTATACATATTTATAGTTTATTACTCCCTCCGGTCCCAAAACAAATTCAGTGTTTGACTTCACACAAAATAAGGAAATAAATTTGACTTTACTGTAGAGTACACTATTGTGACACTGTTTGGCACTGTTTGACATTGTTTTGCACTGTTTTGATGTAGATAATTTGCCAACTAAGGAAGGGAGAAGAAGTGTGAAGTTTATTTTGGACCTACCCAAAAAAGAAAGTGTGAATTTGATTCGGGACCGGAGGGAGTATGTTTAAATTTAAATTTTAAGTTCTTAACAACTAGCTCAACCAATATAATATCTATTTTTGTACTTAAAGATAATACTTTGTGCTTAAATTTTAAATTTTAGATATAGATTCTCATTATTATTTTTGTGTAAGTACTTTTTGTATGTGGTGAAAGACCTATAAACATTATAAGCGTATTAACAATTTTTTAAATGTTGTAATATTATTTTTAAATTATTAAAAAAATCATATAATTTTGAAAAAATTAAAGTTTTCCCGAGCCGGGCGGCCCGGTGGACTACCCGACCCGCTCTTATGGGCGGGTATGGACACGAGGTTAGGCCCGTTTTGCGGGCCAGGCTGGGCCCGCCCACACATGATGGGCAAAAAATATACAAAAAGTCCGGCCCAACTCCGACCCGAACCCGTTTTTGTACAGGTCTAATGTAAAAGACACTGTTTTATACTCCCTCCGTCCCATAAAATAAGTCTCATTTCAATTTGGACCGGAGTTTAAGAAAGTGGGAATAAAGTGGAAATGTATGGTTGTGGTTGAGTAAGAAAAAGGTAAATGAATGTTAGCCACACAAAACTTTCCAAAAAGGGAAATGGGAACAATTTTTTGGGACGGCCCAAAAAGGAAAATGGGACTTATTTTATGGGACGGAGGGAGTATTTAACATTTCCTATGTTATCATACTATGAGCCCGTTTGGTAGCACGAAAATCGGCTGATTTGGCTGATTCTGATGAAATTTATGAAGTTCTGGCTGGAGTGGTTGTCTTTGCTGATTCTGCTGAATTAAGAAAAAATTATTTTTAAAATATATTTTATTAATAAAATAAAGAAAAAATTATATGTAAAAATAGTTAAAAGGGAAAACTATCAAATAAGCCCCCGTACTATACCGAAAAAGTCGATTAGGCCCTCGTACTTTACAAACACTCAATTAAGTCCTCGAACTATTAAAAAACGTTCAATTAAGCCCTTTTGGTGGGTAAATAACCGATTTCCCGGTTAAACGACGACGATGGTGACGGTGTGCTTGAACCCCAGCAACGGCGGCTTCCGGGAAACAGGTTACATTTAACCGGGAAACCGGTTACTTACCGACCGAAAGGGCTTAATTGAACGTTTTTTAATAGTTCGATGACTTAATTGAGTGTTTGTAAAGTACGAGGGCCTAATCGACTTTTTCGGTATAGTACGAGGGCTTATTTGATAGTTTTCCCTAGTTAAAATGATCATCTACAGTAACTTCAGCCAATACAGCGAGAAAAGTAACTTCAACCTTACTTTGTCTGCTTATTACACAATTCAGCGCAGGAAAGCAAAAATTATGTGTTTGGTGAAAAAGTTGGCTGATAAGCCTGATAAGCCGAAAAACAGTGTTGCCAAACGGTCTCTATATTAGTTAATAAACCAGCTGCAGGTTATAGTGTTTCAACATCAACAGTATGCTTTAATGAAATAATTAGAAAATTAAAAGATTAGGGTCATACATGAGGTTTAGGGTGAGCGAAAATTGAACCATGCGCTCCCTATTTAATTATTACATTAATCATGCCAATAATACATAATTGGACACCTTATTAAGGCTCCAAAGCCTGCAAATTTACAAATTCTAAAGCATAGTATAACGATTGAAAGATGAAATTAATCTTAGTGAATTGCACCTGCAATATAAAAGGCAATATCATGCTAGAATATATTTGTATTTATATCACATAAACCTGCAAGAGAAAGAGTAGTAATGAATTACAGAATGAACAAATATTGAAAAATAGAAAACACCACATATTAATTTTAATAGTAGCATTAAGTCGATTTAATCAAATCAACTAAACATGATAACATGTAACCGGAGTTGAACATTCTCTGTTGTCACAACGAGACTCTCAGGTCCAGCTATTCTATCTAACTTATCTATTTGTCATCTGATTAAATCAATTAAGATTGATAACATCAACACAAGCGGTTTTTCGGTTCAACCAATAAAATTACATCCTCTTAGGTTAATAATCATGAGACGCATGCATTAGTAATCTAATGATACTACTTACGAAAGAACCAATGATGTAGGGTGTTTACTTCGCTGCTAAAGTCACAGTTAGGTTGGTAAGACGGGTGAAGTAAACACACAAGCTGCTTAAAAGGCTCCTTACTAAGCGAAAGAAGTGCTTTAAGTGTCGCTTACTAAACATACCACCCCTCATTTATTAATTAAACGGTACTTTAAGCCTTTTCAGTTTCCGAATTTACACTTACCCTTACCCCTTATTGTTACTGTTAGGAAATTGATATAACGTACCTCGAAAGTACAGCAGCGGAAGTTTAAAATTTTCCCAAACAGATCTTCCCTGATTATGACAAAACAACGAATATGATAATAATAACAGATCTGAGTTAGAACTTACAGATCTTCCAGCCTAGCGGTAATAATCCTTGACCTTAGGTATCCACGTGATTTCTCCTTTCCGAAAGAACGGTTAGATCTCCCATAGAGAAAGGCTAGGAAATCTCTTCGAAGGGAAATAAACTGGTAATACTGAATCTGGAAAAACTGGTCTATGAATTATGAAGGGGGAGAATGTATTTATACTAGTTCTAAACTAGTTTCCCAATCACAATGAAAGTCTTTCTCATTAATGAGTTCTAATCCAATTAGGACCATATTTGATTTATTTAATTAAATAAACAAATAAAACAAACTAATTAATAATAAGGGGGAAGTGGGCTGCACGCCACTTTCCACCCTCATTATTTTATTTATTTTATTTCATTTATTAATTAAATATTAATTAAATAATATAAATAATAAATAATAATAATAATAATAATAATAATAAAATAACAATAAGAGAAAGGCTAGGGAGTGGCTTTAGCCGCTACCCTACCTTTACTCCATATATATTATTATTATTATATTATTTATTATTATTTTGAATTTTCTTTTAATCTAATTCCAATTGTATTAAAAGAAAATACCAACTTTATTAATTATATATACATCTTAATTAAGTATAATAAATCTAATTTATTTTACTTAATTAATTCTATCAAATAGAACTCTCCTTCAGCTTCATGAATTAAATATGTTTAATCTAATTAATATTTAATCCATTTTCAGTATTACTAATTAAATATTATTTGATCCAATTAATAATATTTAATTCCTTATAACAAATCAATCGGAAGGTATAATCACTTGTTGTGTGACCCATAGGGCCTTATATATTAAGCACTAATCAAATTAAGGTCTTAGTAGAATCCCTAGACGATTTACCAGACAAACTTAATATATAAGGACGTTTGCGAGGACTATTCAAACTCCCTGTAATATAGAGCTCATAGTGATACGGTCCTTTCATTCAACGAACATTCAACTAAGTCTAGAACATGATATAGTGTCTATCCCAATAACTCAGTCTCTGTCTCTCAATCTTTCTAGTTGATCCATAACGATCATATTCGATATCCAAAACGAATATATCTTTGCATTGGCCAATGACTTTATGATCCATCTAGATATGAGAAGTAGAATGTTCTCTCTTAATCTATTATGAGGAATGAATCCTTTCTTGGCTCAACTACTACTCCATATGCTTCGTGATGCACCCAACACATGCCGTATCTACCCCGATTGGAGTGCAAGCGCTGGTCATGGTCAAAGTACATCACTCCGCACATGTAGTACGCATTGACCTCAAGTCGGAGGACTATTACACTACTCTATACGCTGATAATCCCATAGACACATGAATAGAACTTATCAAATGGTTTCTCAGTGGGTATGCCAATATTCTCTAAAATATCTATGTGATCATCATGAATTACAGGAACTCATAGTCGTGAGATCAACTATACTTTCTAAAAGTATGATGCAGTCCACATACCAATCTTATCGCATATCATCAATATCCCATTCTTGATGATCATTGATTGGGGCTATTTTAGGACCTTATGTTATATCATATAAGCTCTCACTTACTTATTGACAACATAAGTCCAAGGGAACACAATTATGAATAAGATATTGACAATCGAAATACTTAATCATCAATGTGTAGTACCGTATATATCAAATATATAAAACTGAATGTGATCAAGTACATATTTCTCTAAAAAGTGATTGTCGCTAGGACATATATACTAACAATCTCCCACTTGGCCTAGTGCCAATCACCGATGCGTCTAACATCTAGACTCTCAAAAATCTAGTATGTTTCTCGCATCTCAAAGGTTTGGTGAATGGACCAGCCAAATTGTCCTCTATGGGAAGGCATTCTATTACAACTTCTCCTCTTGCAATTTGTTATCAAAAACATGATAGCACATAGGTATTTTCTAGTTCCTTACTTTGCATCTTGGTTCCTTAGCTTGTGCAAACGCACCGGTATAATCACAATAACAATTATTGGATAACTGTTGCTAGGAACTACCCCTATTTCTTTAAGGAACTAACGTATCTAAACGTTTACCTAAGTTGCATCGAATGCAATAATTTACTAGGCTCTAGTTGTCGAATTTATAGTAGTTTCTTACTTGCAACTCTTTCAGCACTACTATTACATTGAGACTAAAAACATATACTGACTGTGACTCGTAGTCTTTCTTATCATACATGAAACTAATGTTAGAATAATTAAATTCTACTAGTTCTTTCTATCTACCATAGACAAAAAGATATTCATGAAGATTTTGGGTGATCATTCTTTCACGGACTTCAATGAGGGGATATCATTCTCTATGATCAACATATATGGTTATAAAGACCACGCTATCCTTGTTGCGCACTCTAAACACGCAAGCACCCTCATTTCATTTGACGAGGTCAAACGATTTGACTATTTCATCAAAATTAATATTTCAACTCCCAGAGGCTTGTTTTAGCCCATAAATAGATTTCTCTAATTAACATAGTGATTTAGAATTTGACTTGGATGCAAAAACCTTCAGGTTGTACCATGTACACCTCATCCTTGAGGTTTCCATTAAGGAAGTGGGTTTTGACATCCATTTATCAAATCTCATAATCATAGTATGCAGCTATCACAAGCAAAATCCGAATGGACTTGAGTTTTGCAACTGGCGAATAGGTATCACTATAGTCAATTCCTTCTCTTTGACTATAACCTTTAGCCACTAGCCTAGCTTTGTATGCTTGCACCTTACCTTCAACATCAATTTTCTTCTAGAAAATCCTTTGCATCCAATGGGTCTAACCCAACAGGCAAGTCAACCAAGTTCCATACTTGATTGATATACATCAAGTCCATTTTAGATTTCATTGCTTCTCGCCACCTCTCTATATCAACATCTAATATTGATTTAGTGTAGGTCTTAGGTTCATCCTTATTAGGAATCTCAACATCATCATGATCCTCCATGAGGAAGTCAAACCTAGTTAGTTCATGACGAATTCTTGTAGACCCACAGAGTTGAAAGTTTTGCATTTTGTTCAGGCTATTCATTCTGATTGTGAAGAGGTTCTCTTTCATTGGACTATCCAATGCTCGGAGAGTTTTCTAGTGCTACACTTTTAAGTGTTTCCAGAGAAAGAGAAGTGGGTGCAGAAGGAATGATAACCATGTCACTCTTTCTTTAATAAGAATTACTTGCTGGTGCAAGGTGATTCCTATGTTACTCCCACTAGTTGAAAGACATCCTCCTAGAGACATGCTTCCATTCAATTCTCCCACTGAATCCTTGTTTTGACCATCTAACAAGTCTTCGTCCTCTATGTTATTTTGTGATTCTTGAACTTCATCAAGTTCTATCCTCCCACGATTACATTCCTTAAAGACCAAGTCTTGTACTAGGAATCTCTCTTGTCTGGAAATAATGATTTTATATCCCTCGGGAAGATAAATTAGTATCCTCTAGTTTCCTTAGGATACCTCACAAAATAATATCCCTCACTTCTAGGTCGCAACTAGTCAATGTCCATTTTCTTCACATATGTAAGGCAACCTCACACTTTAATATGTGTAAGAATAGGCTTCTTATTACACCATAACTCATAGGGTGTCTTTTGGATTAACTTAGATGGAACTCTATTCAGAATGTATATTGAGGTGTCAAAGGCGTACCGCCAAAGAGATGTCGGAAGAGACGTGGAATTCATCATGGACCTAACAATGTCCAACAAAGTTCCATTCTCCTTTCAGAAACCCAATTCAATTGAGGTGTTCTTGGAGGAGTCCATTGTGACTGAATTCCTTGACCTTTCAAGTAATCAACAAACTCCTTACTCAAGTATTCCCCTCCACGATCAAATCATAAAGTCTTGATACTCTTGTCAGGTTGTTTCTCTACTTCAGCCTTATACTCCATGAATTTCTCAAAACCTTCTGATTTGTATCTCATAAGATACACAAATCCAAACCTAGAGAAATCATCAGTAAAATGATGAAGTAAGAAAATCCTCCTCTAGCTTGAGTTTGGAACTATCCACACACATGTGTGTGAATTAACTCAAGCACTTCTTTGGCCCGCAATCCTTTTCCAAGAAAAGGTTTATTGGTCATTTTAGCTAAGAGACAGGAATCACAATTACCATGTGATTCAAAATCAAATGGTGTTAAGTAATCTAATTTACTTAACCTTGTTATTCTTGTTTCACTAATATGGCCAATTCGCAATGTCAAAGATAGGTGGTGTTTTACTGATTACTTAATCTTGGTCTCTTATTTTGTACATTTAATATGCCATGCCTACAAGTAAAATATATAAACCATTCATAAGAGGGGCATTCCCATACACAATGCCATTTTGTCAAAAACAACCAGTGTTATCAGCAAAATGGAAGGAAACCCTTAATGTCTAACATATGAATGGAAATTATATTCTTTGTTATAGAAGGAACAAAATAACAATTATTTAGTTCTAAACTGTAACCGCTGGGTAAATCTAATTTATAAATGCCTACATGTCTTACAACAACTATTGCTACATTTTCTATACGTAAGCCAATTTCACCCAGCCTGACTGCTTACTGTCACTTAGACTTTACACATTATTCCAATGTGTGAGCCACAAGTTGTATCTAATACCCAACAGTGAGAGTTACTTGTAGACATATTAATATTAATGACAAAAATACCTAAGCTAAAAGCACTCGGTGCTTTGGCTAGATTAGCCCTACATAGCTTAAAACCTCTCTTCCAATTCCCTCTCTTTGCTGTAGAGGCATACGTTCTTTAGTACCTTAGATTTCTTTTGAATCCTACCTTTAGGTTTCAAAGCTAGAGGCTTAGGTCCAACCTTAATTCTCTTCTTCTGTTTGTTCTTTCCCGTAAGAAAAGATTCAGCAGTAGAGCTTACCTTAGCAATGTTATTCTTCTCAATGTCCATGTCAAACATAACTAATTCAGAAGAGTTGACATTAGGAACCTCGGGTACACATGTGTCAAACACATTCTTAATATTTTCTTGCCTAAACACGAAACACACATTTTGTTCGAAGTCTAGAAAGTCTGATCGAGTCAGATTATTTTTATCCAAGATACTTCTCAATGATAAATTCGACATTCTTAAAAAAAACTAGAGAAGTTCAAATAAAACGGGAATTAAAATCATATAATAATTCCTATGATCACATTTAGTTAACTAAATAATTCGGACTTTTAATTATTTAGCTCCCACTATTTTTCATGCTCTTTGACCCCAATAAAAAGAACATAGATTGTGTTGAGGGTAAGTCCCGTAGATCCGAAAGTCCAACACGAACTTTGGATATATCAGGAATGGCCCAGAATCAAAGCGTATAAGAAAATATAAGATCTGAACTCACTAAAACTCGAAAGCCCACTTGTATTAATTAACCAATCTGATTACAAGGAATTTCCCGATCGGTAAGTCGAAAACTATGCTTTAATACAAGAAATAAGAGCAAATGATGCTATTCTAGAGCTTGAGTATTGAAATGCTAACCCTTACAATGACTTGAAACCTTCTATTTATACTAATGGAGAGCATGGGCTGCCTCTTGCTGATTGGCCGTGGTTCCACCGACTTGGTCATCCATGCTTCCACTTGCCGATGTCATAGTCAGGCATTAATTGCACCTGGCCACTTGCTGGTTGGCCGTTGCTCGGACGGGATGTTGGGCTGTACTGAAGATGCTGTCAAATTGGCCCAAGTATGATATATAGTCCGAGCCCCGTTCGGTATGTCTTCTTACTGGGCCAACCTTTATTTGGGCCGAACTCCGTTCGGTATGTCTTCTTACTGGATCTTTTTCATCATAGAGTGATGGGCCCGTTGCTTGGACCGGATATCTTGGGCCTTCCCGATCTGGGTATTGGGCCTCTAGGTCAATATCCCAACACAAGTCCCCCACTTCCGATGTCTCGAACGAAGTGAGTGCATTAGGAAGTATACCAATGTCATAATACCCCGAATGGCGATCGGGGTACAGAAGTAATCAGTTCCCCATGCTGCGATTTGACGGCTGCCGCTTCATTTCCCCATATTCATCATGATAACCGTCGTTTAGTCTTTTCATTAGACGCGTGTTTAGCTTAAATGCTCCTAGTGATGTGTCGCTCTCTGATTGGTTCTCGACACGGTGGTTTCAAGGCTATAAATTAGCCCTTAACTTCTCAATTCCGGGTTTTGACTCTGCAATTCCTTGGCCTTCGTTATTTCCTCTGCAAATTTCCCCCTGCTTCTTTTGCTCAGGTAATTTCCCAACTTCGGATTCCCTATCTTCATTTCTGGCTTCGATCGAGATGAGCCCCAAAGAGCATTCCTCTGATTCGGAGATGGCCTCTCATGGAGACGACCGTGACACCGCCATTGTAGATGCCATCCCAGTTCCGTTTGCCGGTGTTTCTACTGAGACGGCGACAAATACCAGGGCTGAGGCGGAGGACCTCCCTAGCACTTCTTCTTCCTCCAATGAGGATTCCGATGACACCAAATCCGAGGACGAAATAGCCTCCATGGCGGCCGGACGTCCCAACGATGTTCCTCGCCATACTCTTGACCTAAAATTGATTAGGGAGAGGAGGCAAAAATTGACCTCTCACAATAGGGCCGAAATTCCGGCCCTTATCCCTGACCCGGTGGATTTCCGTTTGCAAGCCGGGCTTCACCCAATGCATCATAGGCCCGGAATGACCATAGTCCACTTTGACTCAATTAGGGCCGGCCTTAGATTTCCGCTACACCCCTTTTTCATTTCTTTCTTCAATTTCTACGAAGTTGTACCGGCCCAGATTATGCCGAACTCTTATCGACCAATGGCGGGTTTCATTTGTCGTTGCAAAGATGCCGGCGCCCGACCAACCCTAGAACTCTTTCACCAATTCTTCAAAGTAGCCCCCCAACAAACCCATGGCTATCTGGCCACTAGTGCCCGAACGGGACACATCCTGTTCAAAGGAAACCCAACTTCGATCAAAGGGTGGAAAGACCGGTTTTTCTTCGTGTCCATCCCGGACGGTCTGATTCCCCGCAAATGGAATGCCTTTCCCCGCAAAACCCCTGATCCTGTCCTCACTGAAGAAATCTACAAGGACGTGCTTGCTGTGGAGAAGGATAAATGCATGGACATCATGAATTATCTGACCCCCGAATGACTTATAACAGCCGGGATAGGTACTGCCCGTTCTCTTGGGTTTACTTGTTTTGATAAACCAAGTGCCTTGGTCCGGGCGGTCCTTCCCGTGCGAGAAACGTTCTTTTATTCTTTTTTCTAGTTTCTCACACGCTAGGGCCGCTCGATACTAACATTGTTCTTTGTCTTTTTTCAGCACCAAACCCTGATCTTCCTATGGATGATAGCAGAGTTATCGCAGCCGGTGGGGCCGGAAAACGAAAGAAATCCAGGAAGAATCCACAATCTACTCCCTCCATTATTCCCGCTCAGGAGGCTGCCCCTTCCCAACCGCTTCCAGAGCCTCAGCCAATTCAGCAGGTCCACCAGGATCAATTAGAGGCCATGCTGATTGATGACCGGTTCGGCTCTGACCAACTGCACCAATTTTCCCAGCATTTCGACTCCGTTCGGGGGGAACCCTCGAATGCTGGTGAGACCCATACCGACCATATTACGGGTCAGGTCGAGCGGATCTCCCTATCCGACCCTATCCATGAGGTATTAGAGAGGGCCGGCTCTACAGCGAGCCAGATCTGGTCGACCTCCTCTTGGTTCAACAACTTTTCCCTTCCTCAGTTGCCGGTCGAGCAATCTGAAGAATGTCTGGCTCTGACTGCTCTGAAGGTACATTGTCTTTTGCGCTTTGTCTTTATTTTATTCTCTGTAATCAGTACTAACTCTCGAACGGTATTCTGTAGATGGGCTTGTACACCCTTCAGATGCGGGAGGCCCGCCTGGCCAAGGAGCGGGAACTGATTGTTGCCCAGTCTTCTCCTGAGCAACATGCTGCTGCTGCCATCGCCTCTCTGGAGGCCGAACGGAAAGCCTTTGTGGAGGAAAAGCAGAGACTGGATGCTGAGCTCGGTACCCTTCGGGTCCAACTCGCAGCTTCCCAGGCGAAGGTCCTGGCTGCTGAGGCCGCACAGGTCAAATTCGAAGAAATGCCATCTAGCATCCCGGACGGTCCCTATGAAGTGAACGTGGATCTGTCCGCCGTCCGGGACACGTTTAAATCCTCTGATGAATTCTCCATCATCAAGGATGAACATGCAAGGGCCCAAATCCCGTTCGCCTTTGGGGCGTACTTGAAGGGTTTCCCCAAAGGCGCTGGTCGGCTATCGACAGGGGTGGCCCTCTTGGATAAGGACCCCGAGGCCAAGAAGTGGAACGACTCCATCGTCTCAGATCTTTATGGCAAAATTGGCCAGGTCTTGCTGCGTCCCTTCATCACTCAGCTTCAAAATCATATGGGGAGGCCGGTTCAGGCTTCTGATCTCCCCACAGATGACATTATCCAGACTCAGTTTGAGAAATACCTGCGAGCTCGGCAAAGGGAAGCCGATCAGGCTGCTGGGAGAGAGCCTGAGCCCCTGTCTGATGATGATGAAGACGAGGACGAAGAGGGAAATGAAATGGCCCCTAGCCAATAATTTATATGTACTTTTTCATTACTTGTTGTAATTTTCTTTTTCTCTAAATAGCTTGTACTTCCCGGTCAGTAGAACCGATGAATATATATCCCTTTTTTGCCTGATATTTTGTGTACTATCTTTTCTGTCTTTATATGCCCATTTTGTATTTCTTGCTCAACTACCCTTAATGCCGTTGATCGCCGTTCGGGAATTAGAAAGTTATGATTTATTTAAGGAAAAACCCTTTCTCTCTGGTACTCAGCCGTTCGGGCTTCATACCAAATTTTAGGACTTAGCACATTCTTGCTTCAGATAATCTCTCATAACGTTAATAGCCGGTCGGGCTTCAGACCCATCCTTAGGATAGCTTTTATGATGTTGATAGCCGGTCGGGCTTCAGGTCAATTTTTAGGACTTAGCAGTTTTCTTGGTTTTCTTTGCACCTGGGCTTCTTCCTAACATTGATAGCCGTTCGGGCTTCAAACCAATTTTTAGGACTTAGCCGTTTTCTTGGTTTTCTTTCCACCTGGGCCTCTCCATAAGTTGGTAGCCGTTCGGGCTTCAGGTTGACATTTAGGACTTAGCATTTTTCTAAACAGCAAGTCCCTGTGATCTTTGCTAATTCTCTGTAAGCCCGTCCGGGGTACGTGCACAAAAAATGAATCATAAATGCCCCAGATTAATCGTAACCACCCAATGCCACGTGTTGCTCATGGATTAGGGATTTGTGCGGCACTTTCCCTATTTATAGAGAGGTGCTTCCCCTAAGTTCTCCTGCTGTTTTCTCATTTTTCTTTCGAGCTTTCTCTCTCTAGAATTCCCTTGCATACTCTCAAGCCTTCTCTCTCTAGAATTCCCAGAGTTCCTCCAGCATTTTTATGTACTACTCCTCTAGCTCAGAATCTAAAGAGATGCCTTTGATCCGCAAAAGCAAAACATCCGCTGGTAACCAGGCCGAAGGTTGTTGCCCCCACCAAGAGAATACTATGCCGGATTCATTCGGCACCCTATGAGGCACAGACCGGGGCACGTGCTAGTGCACCTTGATGCTCTGACTGCTGGACTTCGATTCCCTCTCCATTCATTCATAGTGGAGTTCTTACGCCGGGTTGCTGTACTGCCCGCTCAGTTCGTGCCCAGCACCTACCGTATTCTGACAGGCTTCATTATCCGGTGCCACGAGTTGAGGATCACCCCGAGCGTCGATCTGTTCCTTTATCATTACTGCTATCAGCCCTACTGGACGACCGGGTACCTGAAACTGGTGGCTCGTTCTGACCGTCAGCTGTTCACAGAGAACGTTACCCCGCAGGCTGACTGGGAAGAGCGGTTTTTGTTCGTTCGGGTAGGTGATTCTCTGCCATTCCCGGATAGGTGGAACGCATACCCCGTTCGGGATTCCCTGCCCAGGGTGGATGCCGTTCTACGCTCCCAAGCTGAGTCTTTGCGGATGGGAGGGACCAGAAGTCTTCGCAGCTTTGTCACTACCTCGAGCATGTTATCTGCTGGAATCGGTAAGCATAGTAGGGTTTTAACCCGATCATCCTTCGCTCTCACAATTCAACTTCTTATCTTTTATTTCTCTTTCTTGTAGGTGTGATATCTCCCATACCCGTCCGACACTCTATCTCTTCTGCTAAAGGGAAGGAGAAGATGATAGCCGATCGTGATTCGGCGGAGCAAACCCGCAAAAAGCGCAAAGGAAATGATGGCGATCACCTGATCCCGATCGACCATGTGGTTGACTTGACCGGGCCGGAGGTCGAGCCCAAAAGATCGGTGCCTGCCAACAAACCAACTCCGGTTCTTACTGCCACACCGATCGATGATCAGATGTTTGTTGAATTTTCAAATATGGGGCCTAGATCAGAGGGGAGGTATCTGTTCGGGCTGATGCCATCTTCTATGTGGTGTCATACTGCGATCAAGGTTCCCCCGAGCTTCACCAACTTGACTCACTGGTCAGACCTTTTCGAAGCAGGTCACCAGGAAGCACTCAAGGTACGTTTCATCCCGACCCATGCCTTTCTACTATTCATGTTTTACCTTATATGACTTTCATTGTAATCTTGTTTTCAGGCTGGCGTGTATTATCACAAGGCCTTTCTTGCTGCTGAGAAGGAGATGAAAGCCCTGGCCAGCGATCGGGATGACGGCCAGGTCCTCCTTTCTGCCGCTCGGAAGTTAGCGACCGACCTCCAAGAGCAGGCCAAAGAGGGTGAGAAGGCAAAAGCTGCTCTGGCCGAGATGCAGGAGATGTCCCGTCGTCGCGACCGGGAGCTTAAAGAACTCTGGGCCAAGGTGCGGGCTGTTGAATCTGCTGGCATCAAATTTGATAAGGCTGTTGGCGACCATCTGCCCGAACCCTACACGGTCAATACTTCTCAGATTGCTCAGCAATCGGTAGTGGACTTTCAACGGGGCAAGGGGCTGAACGTTGCTCTGGAGAACACGGCCCGACAATTCCTAGGTCCTCACCTTGGTCAATTTTTTCGTGAGAGCTCAGATCCTATCAAGGCAGGGATCGACCTCCTGGACAGCACGCCGGAAGGGAAATCTTTCTTGGATGTCCTGACCGAGAAAACCGTAAAGCAAAGTCAGGACCTGCTTCTGGACAGGAATCTTGAACTGATCTTAGAGCGTTTCCCCAAGCCGTTCGATCCTGATGAACTAGGCTTCGACGATCTGTTCGGGAATACGTACGATCGCGTCATGGAGAAAAGATCCAAAGCAGCGCCTGACGATGCAGTGCAGGCAGGGAGCTCTCAGCCTACATCCCCCCCCGAACGGCAATCCTCCAGTAGTGTAGCCTTCTTTCCTTATCTGTTGTCTCTTTTCTTGTATATTCGTTCTTCTTGTATATTCCGGCTGGTAATGCCGAAGAATAAACTGGACTTTTTTCCTTTGTTGTATTTTTTCTATTCTTCCTTTGATTTTTTGTTCACAATCTTCTCTACGTGGCCGAACCTTACTCGGCTCATGTATCTTTATATCTGACACCGTTCCCGAACCCGTTTTGATCCCTTTTCCTGTTCGTGACACACGGGTTCAAAACTCTTAGCTGAGGTGAATTCCTCCAAGCCGTTTTGATCGTGACCACAGGGTCAAACTCTCAGCTGGGATAGGGGCTCCCTCCAAACTGTTAACATGTTCGACATTCGGTCATCCGGAATGATTTCACGTGTTAACAAGCTGAGGTGAGACTCTCTTCACAATTGTTCTGACACCTTTCCCGAACCCGTTTTGATCCCTTTTCCTGTTCGTGACGCACGGGTTCAAAACTCTTAGCTGAGGTGAATTCCTCCAAGCCGTTTTGATCGTGACCACAGGGTCAAACTCTCGGCTGGGATAGGGGCTCCCTCCAAACTGCTAACCCGTTCGTCATTCGGTCATCCAGAATGATTTCATGCGTTAACAAGCTGAGGTGAGGCTCTCTCCCTTCCAAACCCATAATTCCGATGCATTCCGAACTGTTCTCTCTGGCTCGTATCATCCATATTAGGGGTCTGAGGTAACCCTTTTCGAACTGTAAGCAAGATCACCGAAGTTGGGTCATTTCTTACTTATAGCTAAAAGGGCGACTAGCTTCCAAGTCAAGTTTTATGACTGAGGCGAGATTTTTCAAAACCATAGTTCCGATTCCCCGGGCGACAATCCGTACCTTATCCGAACGTCGCTCGGTTAATCCATATCTTACAGTCTTGACACCATCTCCAAGCCGTTTTGATCCCTTTGCCCGTACGTAATTACAGGGTCGACTTTGGCTAAGTTGACGACTCAGCTACCTCCAAGCTGTTAACCCGTTCGTCATTCGGTCATCCGGAATGATTCTACGTGTTACCAAGCTGAGGTGAGAATCATTATCCTTCGAACTCCAGGCCATTTTGATCCCTTCATCAATGCGTAATTACAGGGTCAAAACTCTTGCTGAAATAATGGCTCCCTCCAAACTGCTAATATGTTCGTCATTCGGTTTTCCAGAATCGATTCTCATATTAACCGCTGAGGTGAGACTATCTGAGCGTCAAACTCCCAGCCGTTGGCTGAGAATGACTTTCCTTCCATGCTGTTAACTCGTTCGTCATTCGGTCATCTGGAATGATTGAGTTAACCACGGGCACCGATTTTCTGAGCCTCAATTCTTCAAGCCGTTTTTGATCCCTTTATTCTTACATAAATCTAGGGTCAAAAACTCTCTAAACTGAGAATTGATTTTCCTTCCATGCTGCTAACCCTTTCGTCATTCGGTCATCCGGAATGATTGAGTTAACCACGGGCACCGATTTTCTGAGCCTCAATTCTTCAAGCCGTTTTTAATCCCTTTATTCTTTCATAATTCTAGGGTCAAAAACTCTCTAAACTGAGAATTGATTTTCCTTCCATGTTGTTAACCCGTTCATCATTCGGTCATCCGGAATGATCGAGTTAACCATGGGCTGAGTTTGTGTGGAAGTTATGTCTCCCTCTCTATATTTTTTTAGAGGTGGCAACAGCCGTTTTTACTGATAAAATTTCCTCAGATGCTCCACATTCCAAGTTCCTGCCGTTCGGCCTTCGGTATTTTGTAGGCCAAACGTTCCTGAAGCATACTTCTTACATACTTGGTAGGGGCCTTCCCAATTTTGTGCCATTTTGCCCCCTTCGAGCGGTTTTCTTTTCTCTCTCTTTCTTAGCACCAGGTCCCCTACCTCGATTGAACGAACTTTAACCTGCTTATCAAAGTATCTTCTTGTGGTTCTGTGATACTCTTCCATTCGTGCCGCTGCCAGATCGCTTCTTTCTTCTATGAAATGCAATTCGGCCCGTAAGTTATCTTCATTTTGTTCTGGGCTGTAATGCACCGTTCGGTGTGTGGGAACTAGGATCTCCGTTGGTACTTTGGCTTGAAAACCATAGGCAAGGGCAAATGGAGTCTCTCCCGTGGCCGTTCGGGGTGTGGTCCTGTAAGTCCACAGAATATAATTCAACTGATCAGGCCATGATGAGGAGTATTCTTCCAGCTTCTTCTTCATACCATCCATGATAGTTCGGTTCATATTTTCTACCTGGCCATTTGCCTGAGGGTACGCGACGGACGCTCTGGCATGCTTGATCCCCCATTTGACCAGGTAGTTCT